CCTCTAGACTTTCCGAGGTTGTCTCGCAACTTGTTTGCAAAGACAACCTTGCCGACCACCCTTCCCTTGACGTGAAGTAGATTGAACCCGCCATCTGAAACTGAAGATTGTTGCTTGTCGTCGCTTTCAGCTTCATCGACCGACTTCGAATTTTGTTCCTTCATCGGCGGTTTGAAATCTTGGGGCAGAATGTACACGTTGATGTTAGCTGACCAGTCCGGAACCCATGATGGCAGGTTCTCAAACGAAGGGTTCCTAGAATTGCCGATTCCTGCGTATGGAAGAAAGGCGAAAGCGTCTCTGATTCTGGTAATGCGACCATAGTGTAAACAATCTCGGGTGTGCTCTTGTCGGTGTAGTCCGGCTTGATGTGATGAGGACTGTCTTTGGACTTTTTTTTCGATCTAGAATGCTGTGCATCCCGTCCACCATTTCCCTGAAAGACCGTTTCGCCTTGGGTACAGACTCCATCAATCTGATAGTCTTTCAGCTCTGAAGTGGATTTGTCTTTCTTAGCCCATCGGCAAACTCACTGACTAAATCTAATGTGTCCATCAAGTCTTTGGCAACCCCTCCCCGAGAGAAGATTTCTTCTGTAAAGACTTCATTCACTATGACGAAAGTTTGGATGAAACAGCGGCGCGTTCCGTTCTTTGCTGACTCCCAGCAAAGCAAACACACTATCGACCGAAAGTGTTGCTTTGAACCTGAACCCGAGCGTCAAAACATCTTTAAGAGCGAGACGATCAATCTCGTCAAGTTGGAAACGCATATTCTCCATGATGAGCGCATTCATGAGGTGCTCGTTGGTCAGGATGGACAGGTCTTCGTCGCCTCCTGCTCCAAGGGTCAGGATCCGGCCCAGACCTTCTGCGAAGGATTCCCAATGTATCATCGTCGTATTTCCGCTCTGAAGTACAGTGTTTGTAGAAGCGGCGATTTCCTGAATGATCCAGACTCTTTCAAACCAGCTGTCAGTCAACAGAGAAAGTAGTTCCTCCCACCCAGAAGAAGGGGATGACTTCAGCCTGACGAGCTCTTTCTGGTCCATCTTTTCTGTCGTCACAATTCTTCGTACCAGGTCAAATGCTTTCGCCGCCACTGGGCTTTTGCCTAGCCACCCAATGGTTGATGTGGCCTCTTCGAATATTTCTCGCATCAGCTCTACTTGCCGACTCTTCTCTTCAGCGTCGGCCTGGTTAATGCAAATGGAGTCAATCCACAAAAGCTGAGAAAACCGCTGCTGCCGTAGCTCCACGAGAAGATCGTAAATACTTGTAGAAACCGGAAACGGCGCCCCATCAACAAGAATTATCTGAGTTTCGTCTCCCGTAGACGCCCAGCGGTGGGAAACGGCTCGGTACGAGGGAGGAGAGTCCAATGTTGAGTGAATAATATCGCATTGCACTGGTGAGTTGCTGAAGCAGGGTTGGGCCCGGAGTCGGAGAATGCGAAACTCATTCGATCGTCGCAGTGGCTTGTGCTTGAATTTTGTCATTCGCATCGTCATTCCATATCGCACCAGATATACGCCCATTCCGATGACAGCAGCAACCTTTAGCAAAGTGCCAATTGGGAGCACCAAAGGCCCAGGCCTTGGCCAGTCTGGATCCATCACGATGGCTTTGATAAAAAAGCTTGTAATTGCGAACCAACGGCACCCGCGACGCTCCATTTGAAGAATTGGTGAGGCCTCACCGCCGTGGTGCCGTAGCCAAAATTCCTGATGAGGGTACTGATTGGTGAAGAGGTGCATGGCATAAGCTGCCTGGAAGGGAACGCCGTTTGAGAACCAGAAGACAGAGCACAGCAACCACTCGACAGCCATCAGCTATCCAGAATAGGCACTGCCCTCCGTAATCCCTGTGAACACTGGCCAGAAGGGCCTCTTCACCGTTATTAATAAGGCTATCGCCGCCGCGGCCCGGGCCGTGCTCCCGGTATGGCGTACCACACCCACGGATATCTTACTCAAGGAGTCAGGACTATTAGCCGCTGTCGCGGCGTTCGAAGGGGCTAGACTACGCTTTGCCGCAAGACTACGCCGTCTTGACCCCCAACACCCACTGGTCCCTAGGCTGGAGGAACGCACCCCTGGACGCTCTGGACGGAGTACGAGACTCCAGCGAACCTACGCGCTACTACCTCCGTGCCCCCGCCCAACCCCAGTCTTCCCGGATCCCCCCGCGCCCGAGCGAGGCACCAAAGAGGAAGTCTCTATCGCATTTCTGCGGATGATCAAGGCGCTGTCGCGCTCTGATCTAGTGATCTACTCAGATGGGTCTATGTTGCTCGAGGGCGCTATAGGATATGGCTATACGATCTACCGTGGACCTAAAGTCATCGCGAAAGGTCGTAGGCGCCTCGGCGAACATACCGAAGTATTCGACGCCGAAGCTAAGGGGGCCCGTGAGGGCCTACGGCGAGTACTATACCTAGCTACTACCTCCCCTACTACTATCCACCTCTATCTTAATAATACTAGAGTTCTTAACTATATCTCAGGGTTCGGACTCTCTCCAGCTAGCTCGTAAGCAGCTATACTAGAGATAATCGACGCTCAGCAGGCAAGGGATATTAAATACTACTAGACGCCCGGGTATACCGGGATACCTGGAAACGAATTAGCTAATAAGCTCGCTAAGGAAGGAGCCACACTCCCGCTACTATACCCCCTACCGCAGGCCTCCTACGCTAGAATAGCGAAGATAACTTACGATAGAGCCCGCGGATACTATTCGAGGTGGTGGCATATATCTGAGTAGAAACTCAAGTTTAGCTATAGGAATACTAACGCCGCCCTTTATTACTTACCGGAGTTAGACCTACCTTGTCTACTATTGCACTACCTGCTCGCTGCCCGCTCTAGCCATGGCTACTTCTTCGCCTACCACAAGCACTTTCAGCACGACGGGGACTTCAAATGTAACTACGGACGGAAATTATTACCTACCTATCCAGTATACTACGCGAAGAACCGCCGTACGGCGGCACTATGGCCGATTGCTAGGATTAAAAAGGATCCGGGCCCCTTACCGCCCCCGAAGGGCCAGGCCAAAGCCTACTGGTACGCCCTGATTAGAGATCCGGGCGCCTTTGAACAATTCGAGCGCTTAACGCGGTACTTCGAAACGCACTCCCTGTGAGGGGATAGCGAGCCCGAGATACCACGCCTCACACTTTATCATACACCTACCGACACCTCTTAGGCTATAGCCCTACCTCTACCCTCCCTCTCCCTCCTCTATTTTTCCCGATCTACTTGAGATAATACTGGAAAACAAAAAAATGCACTCGTGGGTAATTACGCCTACGAGGGCCGGCCTTTTCGTTATAGCCCGTCGTCTGTGGACGATGTAGGGCTACTCAAGGCCCATTCGCTTCTACCGAGTCAGGAAACCCCTACTGGCGTGCTTTTTGGAACTAAACGGACCCTAGGGATTAGCTAATAATCTCCACTACTCTAGGTACGAGAAGAAAAGTGTACATTATAGATTATCTGACTTGTCGTACGCTGTTTAGATATATGCCCAAAGGGCGCTCTGGTTGATCGGGCTTAGTTCGTTAGATAGCTAGGCTCCTGTCCCTGATGATGTTAAATACTACTACTACTACTACTACTACTACTACTACTACTACTACTACTACTACTACTACTACTACTACTACTACTACTACTACTACTACTACTACTACTACTACTACTACTACTACTACTACTACTACTACTACTACTACTACTTCGACAGCCATCACCGGCTGCAAACAGGGATCCGGCCCGGTAAACCATAACTAGAATGGGTAGTGGAGAATGTCGGGAAGAGTAGCAACACACGTCCATACGACTATAGCCATGATGACTCCCTGCCTTCCCTCCGGAACAAATCCATTGATTGTATCCCTCGGGGCACTGAGTATTAAGCCGGGTAAGATTGGCGCAACAGTAGTCGTGCAGAATTCCTAAGGACCCAACACTGTTTCCAAACCAGCGGCAATATCGCGAAAGTCGAACAATCTCCGAAAAATGATACGTGCCCGTCCAAAGATACAGGGCTTCAAGATGAGCCCAAGTTCATCCGGTAAGTTCATGTTGGCGTACTTGCCACGGATATGACTGTCGGCGAAGATGGCTAAGGTGTATGCATGAAAGTTGATGTTCGGAAAATACCAAGCGAGAAAAGCATTGAGATAAGTCCAAGGATATATCTTGTTGCTGAGAGTTTGTCGAGACTGCAGTAAGAGTGTCTGATAAATCCATCTTTGTTGCGGTGGCAAGCCTTCGTCGACAACAAAGGTGAAGAAAGCAATCGTAATGGTTTCGATTACGTCGTAGAAGCTCTTCTGCAGCTTTTTCAGAACTGTCAGGCCCATCCCAGTACACTCGTTAAACGATTGTCACACTATGCCTATGAAACAATATGGTCTTACCCAAGCATGACTAAGTTTGCCAAGGATATGCCAGTATAAAGGGTCTTCCACTCACTATATAGATAGTCGGGATATTCCCATAGCCACTCGTTCTTCATACTCATCAATACATCCCATTGACCCCCTACCTGATAATCGCTGCCCAACAGAATGAATAGGAGCCAGCAACTCGTATGCTTTGACCACCCTCCGTACCCAGAGCCTGCAAGTTTTGGTGGTCACGTTCAATGGCCAGGCTGCTGGCGACATGCCTTGTGCAACTTCTCATCTGACTTCCATCTGCAATTCTTCCTAGCCACTCTACGGAGAACTTGCCATCACTTACCCAGAGGGGTTTCGTCAGTCATTTCATGTATAGATCGATAGTCTTTCATTCATTACCTGATCAATATACTCAAAATTTCCCCCACCTTCAATGCTTGTTCGCGCAATTTGGTAACGAGTTGGTCGACATGAGACATTTCACTTGCACCCATCAACAATGCATCGATTTGATATGATCAAAGCCATCCAATTATCCTTGCTGTGAAGACTAAGCAAGTCTTGATATTTTCTGACAAAGCTTTTGTGCCATTCTAACCAAAGTTACCTAAACGCCTGTCCATGCCATTATATGCACCACTTCATAAAACGTAGTCGTAGCCCCGCAAATGAACTCAAACCAGCTCTCTAGTTGAGCTTGGCCTCCTCGACAGCCAAAGGCGCAACCAAGTCCGATATCCAGGCCTGCTTCTTCTCGTCGGTGTACTGAGGGTAGGGGCGTCTGCAGTGGCAACTGGTCAAGGGGTATCCGTGCGACTTGGCAACAACCCACTTGGTGCCGTTGATGCCGCCCTTGCCGAAAGCCCACTCCATCTGAGCCAGCTTGAGCTGAGCAGCGGATGCCTCCTGGATCTTGCCGGCGTTGTAGAGGTCAAAGATCTTGATGCAGTACTTGGGGAAAAGGTTGGCGACGCCGGTGATGGTACCGTTGCTGCCGACAGACATGGCGGGCACGAGCCAATCGCTCTGACCCGCGAGGGCGAAGAACTCGGAGGGGTCGAACTCGGCGCGGACGCGGGCAACCTTGGCGATACCACCGCAGGTGAGCTTGACACCGACGATGTTGGCGTGCTTGCCCAGGCGAGAGAGCATGTCAGAGTTGACGTCCAGGCCGGCAGCGACACCTGGAAAGTTGTAGATGATGATGGGGATGGGGCTGGCGTCGGCGAGCTCCTCGAAGAAGCCGACGATGGCCTCCTCGTTCATAGCGAAGTGGAAGTAGCTGGGGACGAGAACGAGGGCGTAGTCAGCGCCAGCGGCCTTGGCGAGCTTGGTCTCGTCGATGACAGCGCGAGTGGACTGGCCACCGCAGCCCATGGTGATGGTGAGGTCGGGGCGGCCGGCCTTGACGGCAACCTCTCTTGTGGCCTGGACGAGTCTGGTCTTCTCCTCGTTGGTGAGGGTAACAGCCTCACCGTTGGTTCCGGCAAGTACCACTGCGACACTTGTCAGATTTGGCTTTGTCGAGGATTCTGGTTGTGGATTGCTACTTACCTCCGTGGAGGCCAGACTTCACCAGGAACTCCAGGTGCTTGGTCTGCACGTCCCAGTCGATCTCTTGGCTGGCATCGTTGCCAAACCAGGTCAAACTCGGCACGTGGATACCGGCGGGGAAAGTCTTAGCAGCCATCGTGAAAGTTGTGATGGGAAGTGGGATGAAGTTGGCAAAGTAGACGCAAGAGAGTTTGGCGTATCGGTTGGAAACTTGGAATAACCAGCAAAGAGGACCAACAGTTTTGAATGGCAACAGTCGATACAAGTATCTCCTGAACTCCGTGGCTCGGAGCGCTCAACCCCGCGGTGGGCATTGAGGCGCGGGGCTCTTCAAGGTGGCATGTTTCCGACAAGCCGACCTTCCCCACGGGCATGAACCGAGCATGCAGGACGGGTTTGTTGTGGAGTTGGAGTCTCAGGAAGCGGACAGGGTCATGAGTCGTGGCCTGCTTACTCCGTCTTCCCCACGGGCCACAATGTCAAGGTCATCTGGTTGGAGAACTCCAGACTTTTCCAGGAAACCATGTCGGATTCGGACAAAGCACCTGGGAGCAGAGAGTAACCGATCGGAGTGGATCGGTGTCGCGGCCGGATGTGGGCCTTCCGATCGGGATCCACACTTGTCGGGTACGCTAGTGTCGCCCGTCGGTTGCAGCCGATGGATCTGATCACGCAGCTTGTCAGCTCGGGATCTAGCTCTCTAGCTAGGAAGAGAACGGCTCCGGTGGCGTGGGAGAGAAATTCATGAATTAATGGAGACGTAGATGTAGCATAGTATGGTGAAGTTGATTTGATTGAGGTGAACAATAAAAGGGGTATCTAATGCTTCCCGCGACTTGAGCTAGCTACGACGCGAGCGAACGCTTCCAATGCAGAGCTATCCAAGGGGAGAGTTTCGACTTAAGACAGCTCGCGAAGACCGATTGGGCAAGTAGAGATCGGTGATGGGGTCTGCTGAAGCGGTTGAAGGCAGCTCAGACGATGGCAAAACATGAGTTGAAGATGGCGTGCATAACGGATCGAATGTCAACCCGGACCTTCTCAGCATCCTGCCTAGCTTGTACCTCCTCTAGGACCTGAGCTGTTATCTTTGCATTGCCGGCAACGCTTTCCATTCGCAATATCTGGGTCTTGATCCATATCCTCTCCTGGGGGTCTTGCTCTTCCGACCCCAGCATTAGCAGAGGCCAGAGCATGTTGACCGGTAATGAGTTGTCTGCATCCAGCGAATCTACCAGTAGTCGAGCCAGACGTCGAATCTGATTGAGAGCCTCGTTGGCTTCTTTAGTCAGCGGAAACGATTTGTATGCCACTCTATGTAGGTGGACTTTACTTGCGTGATAGTTGGCAAGATAGGTTCGAAAGGCACGCGTGATGACAAACGCGAGGTGCTGTGAAACGTGAGGCTCCGTCAGTTTCCCCGCCACGGCATAGTCCATGAGCGGGGGCCGCTGCTCGTACAAGGTCCGCAGATCTGCTGCGATGGCGGCCCCGATGTTCATGACCTCTGTCTCATCCTCGACGGTACCACGTGACCTATGCCAAGGATCGATCTTTGATATCCGACCCATAAAGCTCTGGACCTTTTGGAAGAAGACGATTCCGGGCTGGTACAGGACTTGGAATAGTACATCCTCAATATCACCGTCTCCGAAATCTTCCCTTGTTGAGTCGGCGCCCCCTCCATCGAAGCTGGCTGGTGATGCTTCGACTAGAAGCAGCTCGTCGTCTTTGGAGAGGAGCAAGCCCTGCCCCCCGGCGGAAACGGCACGGGCATCGAGTAAGCGCATCCACTGGAGAAATTGCTTCTCGATAGCGGCAAAGCTGCTCTTCTCTCCTTGCTGGAATAGCCCATAGGCCCGTTTGAGGAATGAGTCTGCAGCCTTGATCTGACCTCGGAGGATGTCGACATAACTTAGGAAGAAGAGTGTCGCGAGGAGGTGTTCCCTGCGTGAGCTCGGGTTGTCGGTAGCGGGCGACGACTCATCCCCGCAGGTAGCCACTTCTGACACGGCTTTCTGATAATGATCCTCCGGACTTGCCAGCCAAGATCCTTCGCGCCGCGATAGCATCAGGTTCGAGAAAGCAAGTACCGACCACTTGACCATCTGTGACGCGCCCGCCATATCGACGACAACCTGTCGAACGGCCAGCCACTTCTTCTGCGTCTCTACCTCAGCAAGGATAGGGGGAACGACGACACGGCTAAAGTAGTCCATGAGTCTATCATCCTCAGTCGGAACCTGCAATGCCATAGCCTGCTCTGACTGACTGCTAGCATCCGGAATTGGCGATGGGTCTGGCAGCTCATCCATAGCCGTTCGATCTGGGAAGGTGAGATTGGGTGGGCTACTCATTAGTGGCGGTGGCCGGCTTCCAAGAGGCTGGCCCCCGAACTGATTTCTCTGTGGATAGTCAGTATCATGAGTCCACGAGACGAGACTGAGTTTGAGTAAAGGATGTCTCACAAGAACTTGCCCATCAAGGCTCATCTGCTGACCAGGTTCTGGGTTAACCTGCTGCCAGGCATCGCCAGCATCCCACAAGAAGTTGGCATAGTCGAATATCTCATCGACGGCCTGCATAGGCTGGAACACGGACGCCGCCGGCGACACGGAGGCATCGGTAGCATGGGACGGGATAGCCGGACTACGACCAGATCCGGAGGACCCCGCGGCTGCTAGCATTGCGTGGGCGGCGAAACTGCTCGGTTGTGGCCGCCACTTGCACTCAAGGTTCAAGCGCTCGCAATGACTGCACCGAGGCCGACTCTCATCACATTTGACTTTGCGGCGTCTGTGGGTCGAGCGTCAGCGAGATGATCATTCTTCGGTAAGGAGTCTTGCTGGTGATGTCGGGTCGTTGGCTGAATCCCCTCGGCAGCGCCGTCGGGAGATTGCCCGAGGATCGTAACATCGGCGGCCGGACCGGAGTCTCAAGGCAGCCAGGGCAAAATATATGAGAGAAACTTACTTGCAAGTCAAACACCCTTCCCTGGACCTGACCGATCTTCTCGCTGGTCGGGAGTAACTTGGCAGAGCCGACGTCCCACTATTCTCCTGCATGCTGGCGGTTGCGATCGCGTGCGGGCTCTTTGGCAGTGGCGGACATCCTCTCCCTTTGGCCCCCTTCAAGTTTTTCCCTACTGCCACTGACTGTTGCTCGCACTGCCTTGTCTGCCTGCCTGTAATGGTTTGGTGTGGTCGTTGCTGCGCTGGCTTGGAGTGTGTGGATGAGCGCGCAATGTTCTGTCCAAAGCTGGGGGAATGGAGCGCGGGGATATTTCCCCCCCTTTCAACTCCACGATGTGGGGGGTCGCGGAGGGGGTCAAATTCCTCCCCCTGAAAATTTTCGGCTGACTCGTACGTCCAAATGTTCTGCACCGCTCGGTGGTCTTAAGAGTCAGTTTCCAGACCGATGTTAGTAATGCCAACTCGAACAGCTATGGAGATTCTAGCGCACTTTCTAGAGGCCAAGCATGAACGCATCTCCCGAGTCTTTGAGGATGGACTTCCCCCCCACAAGCCACAGTTGGAAGGAGTGGACATGGCAGATCTCTTGTGTCTATCTTGATGTTGTCAGCTCAGGACACATACAATCATTAGCTTCGAATTCCGGTCATGATACGATTCCAAAGTAAACAATAGCTCGTCGTTTTCCTGAGCTTACAACGAGCACCACTCAACAGAGGCCAAAAACAGACGACGGGAATCGGATGAGAGTTAACAGAGTTGAAGATTCATGATCGCTAATGTGGCACAGATCTTATGTCGACAAGACGCAATCACACGGCAGATCAAACCGACAGCGAAACTCTGAGTGCCTCTCATATCGATATTCTTTGATCAGATGTTCAACCTTTGATTTTCGAGCCGTCTATGCCCCTCACGGAAGTTGTCCGACTGTGTGTGACAGCCAATAACGTGGTTGACTTCATTCGGAGCATTGCAGATGTAGGCCGCGGGGTGTAGCGCCATGCGCCACCACTAAAATACATCAGCCACTTTGAACCTAACCCAACTCAACCTGTCCAGAGAGTCGTGATACGTGATCTTTATCTTATTTTGAAGACTTGGTATTCTCATCCCCGCGCCAATATCTAAATAATGCAATCTGACCCTAACTTTGAAGTTGAGTCACTCATGGAAATCCCTGATGTCCTGCGACGCCGGTCTAAGATATCGTGCTTCAATGCAAGACTCAATTTGAGTGCAATTTTCTCGCGTTGAATGAAAAGTTCGATGATGAGATGGACTGGTCAACCGACGGAAAAGCACCCCCGTGACCGGTGAGAATTCCGCGCCAAGTCGTCCAGTCCTCCATCACTAGCTTCACGGGGGCCTTGAACCCCAGGCCGGGGGTGGCTGAGCACAGCTAAAATTGTGGAAATGTATGATACCCAGCAGTCTGGAAGGTATAGCCGATATTCCTAAGTCGACGATGTCACGAATCAAGTTGAGTGGTGGTGAAATGATTCGGCGTCAGCGACTGAAATAATGGAGATTCCTTCAATGTGGGGAGTCTCTCTGTATGTGCCGTAACATCACATGAGCGCTGCTGGCGGTTTATGGATAGATAGACATGGAAGTTTTGAGTATTGGGAGCCCGAGAAGCATCTCGCCGCAGAAACAGCCCTGCATGCCAGTGAGATCTGGGGCGACGCGGCGCATACGAGATAGACAGGAGCCAAGCCAGACCAAGAAGCCATCAGCAGTTTTGGGCTGTTCCGCCGAGGTCATCGGGGGTTATGAGTGGTTCCTCATGGAGCCGCTTAGTGACAGCGCAGCGGCTCGCGTGGTCTCGGGACTCAAACTTGACTACCGATGAGGAGGTTGGGGGGTAGATCCAGGCCCGCGCCGGGTACAGATGAACTGCCAGACGGGGGGATTACCCCGGTCCCGTCATGGCTTGTCACCCCTACCTTGATCCAACTCCAGGGAAGAAATGCCATCTTGCACCTTCCGGTTCTTTGGGATCTGAGGTCGCTCTCGGTAATCATACGTCGGGTTTCAGCTCATTATATCAACTTGGATGCACATTCGACTCAATGCGTCCGGTTCTCCCCGTATGTTATCGTCTCGGCATTCCTTTTAAACTAGCGTATTACTTAGCTGGCCTTTCCATGGTTCTGACCCTAAATCTCGTACAATAATTTCGTTGGGAAAGTCTAGGTATCCGTTGCATTGAAGCAGATACGAAAAAGTTGACCAACAGTCCGGTTAACTGGCTCTTTGAAGGCAAAGGCCATGGATAAGGTCGTGCATATAAGTCTCCTGCTACTCAAGCCGATGTGAATAGAAAGGAAATAACGCCTAACATGACAGAAGTATCAGGACATTCATCCTTACCATCAACCATTACAGCCCATGCTTTCTTCCTTTCTAATATTTCTGCTGGAGCTTATATCTTGGACGTTGTTACCCCTCATTCTCGCGTGGATTATGCATACTATAGGTAGTCAGTGGGCTGTGTAAGTAAGTGCAACGGAAGAAAACTTGGCACACTTGCGTTTGGGAGTGGTGAATGGCGGAAGTAGCCCAGGGTTTCTGTCAAGAAATATTCAAGTCAACGCGGAAAAGTAAGCCAAAAGACATGAAGAGAGATGCACATTTCGTGCGCCCTCTACCCCCCTCTTTGGAGCCTTTCTTGGCTACTCCACACATCTGCTGACGCCAAGTGTTTGCTGCCCAGTCTGTCCAATTGTGCAGGGGCAAGATGTGATCACATTCATTACTGATGAATGGTTGGTTGGACCGGGAGGATGAACCTCTTCTGTTATCCCCTCCACAAACCCGACTCTTTGTTACGGGTCCCAGGCAAGTTTAAACGACTACCACCCAGTTTTTCCCCATGGGGGTCTCGCGGGGTAAACACCGCCGATCCTCGACCGTTCCACAAAGCTGTTCCAAACATGAGCTTTCCATTCGATGGAGTGCAGTTCAAGCTTATTGTAGGGTGGGACGTCATGCTGGTCTAGATAAAGCTTGCCTCCCCGCCGGGTCCCCACGATGAATTGTTCTGCCGGGTCCCTTTCCTACACAACTCTCAGGTTGTTCCGCCATCCCTCCCGCGTGTTGCGCTCCGGCTTCGCCATACTCAATAACTCACTCTACTGGTACCATCGGCATTTTGACTCACAAAGCCCAACATGGGCTTCTTCAGCACCCACGCGTCCGGGACGCTAGATCCCCCAGAGGTGCGGAACTGGCGCATCCACTTGATCGCCTTAGTTGCCAGCATGTCGGCTTTGGCTAGTACGTTTCTTCTCCAAATCATTCATTACAGTTCCTTGAAAACAGGGAGACAAATCATGCCTCTCTGGGCATACTATGCCACCTCTTGTGGACAGCACCGTACAAACTCGCGACTGGCAAGGCTCCAGAAACAACCGGGGCGAGCCTAAGGTCACCCTAAATCTTTGTAGGTCATTTACTGACTCGAGCTTTCAGTGGGATATGATACTGCTGTCATCGGAGGAACCATGGCACTGGACTCGTTCCGACGTGATTTCCACCTCGACGAAGTTAGCACGACCACCCGTGATACCATCCAGGGCAACATCGTCTCAACATTCCAGGTATGTGCATACTCGAAAGAACACATTTATGTTGTCACTGAGTTGACATGGAAATTCTAGGCCGGCTGCTTTTTTGGTTCTCTCCTCACATTCCCCATCGCCGAGAAATTCGGTCGCAGGAAAACCGTCATGCTCGCCGGAACCGTGTTTCTCATCGGTGGCACCATCATGACAGCAGCCAGCGGAAACCTGAACCTGATATACGCAGGTCGTGCTATTGCTGGTTTGGGTATCGGCGGATCATCATTGACAGTCCCCGTTTACATCGCAGAGACAGCCCCGCCTTCGATCCGTGGTCGACTAGTCGGCATCTTCGAAATAGCCTCCCAGGGAGGCGGCATGTTGGGCTTCTGGATTAATGTAGGCACACTCCTCGCAATATTCTCAGAGGCAGGATTCAGAGCTGACTTGAGAATTACAGTATGCGACTGACAGGACGATTGATGTCAACTCAAGAGCCCAGTGGATCGTACCTCTCGGAATTCAGCTAGTGCCAGGCCTGGGACTTGCGCTAGGCATGATCTGGTGCCCAGAATCTCCCCGTTGGCTCGCTCGTGGTGACCACTTTGACTCTGCAGAGAGAATTTTGACTCAGATTCGTGGCCTGCCGGCCGATCACGAGTACATTCGTCGTGAGATGAACGATATCCGCACCCAGGTCGAGCAGCGCACGTCTCAACGCATGACGAAGAAGCAAATGTTCCAAAAGCTCTTCCAAAAGGGCATTCGCAACCGTATGGGCTTAGGCATGGCGCTCATGTTCCTTCAGAGTTTCACTGGTATGTATCTACACCCCTTTTTTCGACTGCAATGTCTGACTAAAGCCGAAAATAGGAGTTAATATAATCACATACTACGCGCCTCGTCCGTACAATACTTCCCCTGATTGAATAGCAAATCATTAACATCATTCAAGGGATTTTCGAGAGTCTTGGGATCACTGGAACATCAACGAAGCTCTTTTCTACTGGTTTCTACGGCATCGCAAAGACCTTTGGAATGTTCCTCTTCACCTTCTGGGTTGCTGAGAGAGTCGGCCGACGAAAGGGTTTGTTGTGGGGATCTGCACTCGGGTGCATTCCGATGTGGTATATTGGGGGCTATGTCATGGTAACTGACGATTCCTTCCTGGCTGTTCTGTCTCGAGATAAATGGTCGAAGCCAGATGGCCTCCTTCAAACTTTGGTACTGACAACATCTGTAGAAAGCAGACCCCACTACAGCTGCCGCAGCAGGCGAGGTCACCCGGGATGGCTGGGGCTATCTCGCCATGGCTTGTGTATACATTAATGGAGTAAGTCACTTCATGCCGTGATACACACTGTAAGAACAGCACTAACACTATGATCACAGCTCATCATCTGCGCAACGTGGCAAGGGATCACTTGGCTTTACGCTTCTGAAGTGCAGACGCTGGAAATCAGAATGCTGGCAGTCTCTATCACAACCGCCACAACCTGGCTCGGAAGCTTCATCATCGCTCGCTCCACACCCTATATGATTTCCGACCTGGGCTACGGCGCGTACTTCTTCTTCAGCAGCATATTGATGCTCATGGGAATCTGGGCATTCTTCTTTGTGCCAGAAACCAAGGGTATGTTTATTCGCTATATGACAGCCAGTATGATTGCTAATCAGGATGTGCCTAGGCCTGACCCTTGAGGACATGGACGCTCTATTCACGCAACCCACCCACAAGACAGTGTGGGCTCAAATGAGAGGTAGGGCTGTGGTAGCCCCTGGTCGTGCCAGGTCTCCCTCTATCACCGACGAGAAATACGAGGCAAATATCGAGGCTGCTCAGATTGAGGAGCGTTCCAAGTCATGAGACTAGTGGATGCCTTGAGCCGGCCTGACAGCTGGAGATGAGGCACTCGGTATGATTCTGTCCCAGATATCTCGAATTTTGTAAGTAGTTGTGATGAGCATGGCTTGTTTCGGAAAGGGGTCTTCGGAAACGGAGGGAGAAGCTGCTGGATCCAGGACCGGACTCGTTCCTGGAGTCTATGACACATTGTATCGTGATTACAAAGACTACTTTGCGCCGTATGCGGCCTTCAGTTCCCAGTGCTTGGTGGTTCACTTCTTCCTCACTTAGCAGTGAGACTGGTCTCTTTTTCAACATGGTAGACCACTGTTACGTTTGCTCCAACAGCAAGTTCTGAGAATGTCAGCAAAGTGTTTGTGATATCCCCTATTGCAGGTGCTATTCGGGCTGCCCAACCCATGAAAATTTTACATTAACTGAAGTACGTGCTGTGAGTCGTCATGAAGTGGGCTTTTTAATAAACACTCTTTACTAAACATCTAATCGAATCTAATTACAACTTGCCTGATTCGTGCCTAGGCTGTATGATAAAATTTCTGTCTTGGATCGCCTAAGCGTTTTTACCCCCAAAACATAAATGAAAAGCCTTCAAGATACGTGCTCTTGACTTCCTACGTTCGGACGCTGCGTCGAGGCCCTTCTCTATATTCAGAACACTTTTTACTTCCTTAAAGGTTGGATTGAATCTGTCCACAAACTCTTGCATTTGACATGATGCTTGTGGCGCATTGCTTGGTCGAATCTTGCCGGTAACTCTTGCAAAATGTTTACGTTTCAACCTCAGCTTACGCTCGGGGTGTTCAAGTTTCACATTCTCCAGGGACCACATCAGCGCTGCCTGGGCGCATACACTGCGCAGATCAGATCCAGAGTAACCTGCGGTTTGTTTCGCCAACTTGGTGACGTCAACATCGTCGTCGAGGTCATCCTTGTTCAGGAACGTCCAGAGTATCCCATCGAGTGCCAGATAGCTCCATTTTTGCCAAGGCTCAAGATACCCACTATTTACCCATTATTACCCCGCATTGAAAGGGGTACTTGACGATACGTCATTTACCTCTATGCTCTTTTACCTGTTATCGCTACTATTACTACCATTTTGATTGATGCTGCGATGTCTTCTAGTGATTCTGATACCTCTATTACTTCTGTACGCAGCTGTATAGTAGTTGAGGTCCTTCCAGAAGACCTTACTACTGCTTGTAATACAAGCTGTACGCCAGAGCGCTGTGACGCGGCAACAGTCCGGCCCCACGAACCTCCGGTCACGGCCTAGACGGGCTACAGACAAAAGGAATACCTCTATTCCATGGGAAAACCACAGGAAGGGATCAAGGGGGGCTAATTCACTTTGTTCGTACTGTAGTAATAAGTAAGCATTAAGGGCCCGCCAGACCCTAGCTGAGATATCTAGGAATAGCCTCATACAGAAGAAAGGGACGCGGAAGGGCTGCTTAGACTGTAATGTAGCTTTATGTACCAAGGGAGATTGCTGGTACCTATGGCATACCCAAAATATATTGGGAACAGAGGTACTGTTACCCTATTGGTTGACTCGACAGATTCACAAGTCCCTATTGGCTCTACCCCGCCCTTGGCAAAAATGGAGCTATCTGGCACTCGATGGGATACGCCGGCGGCATTCCTCGTCGGGAAGCTTGAAGAGAATCTTATGCGGTAACCGACGGTGGAATGCCTCGTCCAGATCCCACGGCCGGTTTGTCGCGACCAAGACGAAGGGCGCTTTTTGACTTGCCGATAATCCGTCGATCTGGGTCAGGAACTGGGTCAGACCGCCTCTTCTGTTTTGGCTAGATTTGCTTGATGATCGTCAGAAGAACAAGCTATCGACTTCGCCGTACGTTGAGCAATTTGAGGATTATCCCACCATGCTAAGGTAGGTGTACTGGCGTTGCTAAATGCGTACGCACTTCTATCGGGGGTATCAGCAAAACGGACGATGATTCATCCCTATTTGAATTTTCAAATTAAAAAGGGAACTAGAAATATTAGAGAACAACTTGAGAACATGTACACCAATGCCATCTAGCGCTCGATGTTATCTGGTTAACAGCTTTCTTCGATGATGATAATGATGATGATGATGTATTTAACGTCTGGTAACAAAAGGACGTACAGCTTTCTTCAGATGTAAGGAATACGACTTGTCGAGGAGAATACTTCGCTCGCATCACGTGTTCTGAGGATTCGTTGCGGTGGAAGAGTCATCCAGGCGAGTGCATCGGCCCGTGCAATTACGAGCCGGACCGGTGAGCGCGCGCCAAAAAAGTGCTGGAGCCGCGAGGTGCCCATGTTCAATCTCGGAGATAGTGTACAGTGTACTCGGTGGTTGGGGCTCATCGGCTGGGACAAGCTTAAACATCAAGGTTCCAAATTCAAAGGGCAGAGTTCCAATTGGTCCAGCAACTTTTGATCATCTCTCTCGTACAAGATACGACGTACAGCTGTCGAGATCCAAAGGCGTTAGATACTCGTACACGTTACGGCAGGCTGGCTGTCTGTGCTTCTATGCAGAGCCCCTGGCTATCGGTTATCTGTGAGCATATTGTCGCATTCGATCCATGTTCCCACAACTTCGAGCTGTGCAATCTGCCTGTTTCACCTTCACTGCTTCAGGGTATCGATTCAGGGTCCAAAAGTACCCACCCACGCTGTCAACGCAAGCTTTCGCCCCCCCCGGTTGCCTGCTAGTGGTTAGTGACGCTCTAGAACTGGGTTGTGCGGGGGTTCGAGCAGGGCAATTGTGGTTGCGCATGCAGGAAAAGGAGAGGAAAGTTGGCCATGCACTGATGCAGCCCGTTGGCTGGAGAGGCTGAAGAAAATGGGAAATCAGATGGGAAGGGAAATTTTGCCGATCTTGGCTCCAATTGTTGGTTCCCATTGGGTTTATTATCTCTCAAGCTCCTTGCTGCGCTTTGTTGGAATGACGCGACACTTGAGGTGAGAAATGCGCGACACTGGTGAAAAGTCCTGCACTAACAGGACCTCACACGCCGATATTGTCTGACCGCCTTTTGTTTTCTCTCTCAAATGGAAAAATTGGAAAAATTGGAAAAATCGATATCTTCTGTGGAGGAATTGAGTTCCTACAACAATGTGGTTTTGATTGCAAAAGTGACTTCGATCTATCATGCAGCCACGGTCTCTCGAGTCTCTGTCAAGGTGTCGCAAATGGCTGTTTTCAGAGCTTTGGCACATGCTTTTTTCTTTGGGGTGAAGACGGAAAGGAACAAAAAAAAAACCCCCCAATTGACAGAGGCAGAACCGAATTCCGAGCCAATCAGAAACTCCAAAAGACAGAGCTCGTGCTCCCTTCGGAAAACAGTCTCCTGGAAGAAGAAGCATTGGGGGAGCATGAGGTTCTATTGCGGTTAGTCAGTGACTTTTGGAGACACTGCCGGTTTCCCAGTGCAAGCGAAACGGAAACGCGACATGGGTTGAAGAGATTGGGTACCCCGTAATAAAGCACTGGTCACCTCCTTTAACGGCATCGTGTCTTCCCACTTTTTTATTTTGGATTCTTTCCCCGTTTTGAAGCCCCTAAAAAAAATCCCTTTCTTACCTGTCCTCGTCCAGATTCAAATGGGTTGAGCAGACGGGATTTCATTTGTTTGACCGCCGCTCCTCCTTCTCTTTCCGTTCTTCCGCCTCTCAATATACTCCTTCTCGTCGCGCGGGGCCTTGGCAATTGAGACTTGAGATCCGCGACTTTTGTTCCAAATCCACACATGCAATGAGTAATCTCATCGTCGCCCCAGACCTGACGGTTCACGATACTATCGTTCTGCAGAACCTTATCGACGACATCGAACGCTACGACGACAAACATCTCGCACCCACCGATGGCGACGAGGGGTATGCCAGTCAGGAATCCTTGGGTGAGAAGTCTAAGGATGATGAACGTGAGCTAGCTTTTCCATTCCCCTTTTGTCTTACCCCATCTCACTTTCACTCTCACTCTCACTCATGCGTTTTCCCACTCACCCCCCTCATCCAACATCGTCTCGTTATTTTTCGGCGAGCATCTCAATTAACAAAGAAATTCAGCCTGCCGCGGAGTTTCAGCCCAGAGAGACGCCAAGGACATCCGCAAGCTAAAGGGCCTAAACGACGCAACAAGCCAAGACTTTGAGCCGTCCGTCTTCTCATCATTCGACCTGCGCGACCTCCCCCACAAGCTCCCAGCCGTCATCTATCAAAATGTCATCGTCCCCTACGTCGCCTGGGGGCGCAAAATCGTCCGCCACGAAACAGACGTCATCATGCTCACGCATCTCATCCTCTACTTCACCCTCTCAGTACCGAGCGCCATCATGCTCTTCCGGAACTTCAACTACGTCCACGGCGTCGTGCACATGATTATGCAGTTCTGGTTCACCGGCACCTACACCCTCATGATGCACCAGCACATCCACATGAACGGCATCCTCTCAAAGAACTGGTCCGTCTTGCGCTTCTTCGACGCCGCGTTCCCCTACATCACCGACCCGCTCATGGGCCACACCTGGAACACGTACTTTTACCACCACGTCAAGCACCACCACGTCGAGGGCAACGGGCCCCACGATTTGTCGTCCACCATCCGCTACCAGCGCGACGATATCTTCCACTTCCTGCACTACGTTGGCCGCTTCATCTTCCTGGTCTGGTTTGACCTGCCGCGGTACTTCTTCCGCAAGGGCCAGACGAAGAACGGCCTCAAGACGGGATTCTGGGAGCTCGGCAACTACGCCTTCCTGTACACCATGTACTGCCTCCACAGCAAGGCAACGACCTTCGTCTTCCTCGGGCCCCTCGCGCTCATGAGGTTGGGTCTGATGGTCGGTAACTGGGGCCAACACGCCTTCGTCGACGCCGACGAGCCGGATTCAGACTTCCGCTCCAGCATCACCCTGATTGATGTGCCGGTAAGCATTTGCCAAGATGGATCCTCCCCCCACATGCCAAGAAGCACGATCGCTGACAATGATATCCCACAGAGCAACCGCTACTGCTACAATGACGGATACCACACATCGCATCACCTCAACCCCCGCCGTCACTGGCGCGATCACCCCACATCCTTCCTGCAGCAGAAGGAGACGTACATTCGCGAAAAGGCGCTCGTGTTCCACAATATCGACTACCTCATGGTGACGGTCAAGCTGCTCCAGAAGGACTACCTGCACCTGGCAAAGTGCCTGGTGCCGGTCGGTGAGCAGATTGGCATGACGATGGAGGAGCGGGCGACGATGCTGCAGCGGCATACGAGGAAGTTTGAGGAGGCTGAGATTCGTGAAAAGTTCCGGGACTATAAGACCAAATGAGGTCAGGTCCTGTCTTTTTCCTTTTCTCAAGACATGGCTTTTGGCACTTGAGAGTCGCGCCGGGATGTTGAGGGCCCTAGAGGAGGAAAGTAATTCTTCCCGGCGCGGCTTTCACATGAGCGTGTCAGCATCTCTTCCTTTTCATTGCATACATGGCGCAAGCGAATTCTGAATAGCAACAAAAAAAAAGTTCGGATCATTAGACGATAGACAAAAAATAAATGTCTTGAGGGGCATACAATGGATTCGAGAGACTCTTCAGCCCTGCTGAGGCTTTTGGGCCATGCACAAATACGTCATACCTTGATATATGGCCATGGTGATGACGCCAATGTTGCTTCGATAGTGATCTATGCAGGTTATCAAGGTTCAGCCCGCTCCTCAATCGGGTCTGACGGTCGATCATTTAATGAACTAGGCAAGCAAATACCTCCTCAGGGTCCATGGGTTGAGACATGGCTCATGGTCCACAGCAACAGAAGAAATGTTGTTCATTTCCCAAGAGACAGCTGTCTCGGACGATGCTAAACGTTCAATCTTGAACAATGCGGGTGGTCCCGCGGGCGTTCCCTCTGGAGCCGGCTGACCTGAGTGGCATGCGGGGATGAGATGAGGTAGAATATGTTGGTGGTATTTGACATTATTGTCGTAAGACGTGGGGGGCATTACATGGTATCTCGTGTGGTATATATCAACAGCATTTCCTGCCCCTTTTTCATCAACGTTGGCATGAACCTATCATGAGGCACGTCCATACTAGAGAACCAGCCATCAACAATGTCAACATCCCGCGGCTCGGGGCCCCATTCTGCGTCGGCGAAGGCGCCGCCAGGCTGGTACTATCCCCGGGACTCGACACCTTCTCGCCCGTCGACGCGACTACGACCTCCCCCGTAGGATACTGCACATTGTACACTGGGGCATTCTTGAGTTCGACCGGCATGCCGAGCGAGTGCTTGCACGTAGGCTGATTCGCCGCAGGCCAATCCAGCTCGCACTCCTCGTCGTATCCCCAAGCACACACCGAGTCGAGTGCGTTGTACAACCCAAAATTCTTGGCCACCCAGCTGTTCGGCTGGTCGAGGCAGCTGGCGAGGAAGTTCATGCTGTTGGACGCGCTGAGGGGCAGCTTCTTGTTCTTGGTCTTGAGGAGTTCCTTGCAGTCGTCCGCCGGCAGCTCCTTGTATGTCATGGCCAGCGGCCCACCCGCGACGGGCGCCTTCTTCGCGGACTTGCCCGTGTATAGGTAGTTCCAAGCATCGTAGCTGACGTCGTAGGCGCCCTGGGACTGGTCGATTCGGAGGAGCTTCACGGTGCGCTTGCGTTCGGAGGTGCCGTCGTCGTAGGTGAGGGATATGCATAGGTTGTTGCAGTCTACGGAGCCAGGCCAGTAGGCGACACGGTCGGTATTGATTTTGCAGCCGAGGACGCCGACTGAGGAGGAGTAGCTATCGTGGGGCGTCGCCCAGACGGT